GGGACCTCCGGACAATCTTAAACCAAAATTAAGACACAAACATCAAACAACAATAATGCATAAAACTCGGTAACTTGGACAAATAATCACACACGGTTCCCCAATTTTCTCAACTCAATCCAAAAACTATCAAAATCATTCAAAAGGCTTTAAAGTAGATTTATAAATCATTTTCAAGTCAAAATTCATTCAAACAAGGCTGAACAATTAGGGCACGGGTCAAACGACATCGATTTTATAATTTTAGAATCTCAAATAGTGTAATTAAGGTTCAATTGCAATAATATCCGAAAAGCTACACCAATTAATAATCCTACATGTCAAATTAAGTTTGAAACCTAAATTTAGAAATCAATTTGAGAAAAATCGCACTTAAACTCAATTTCTCAAAATTGATATCGAATTCAATCGGTAAAACAAAAAAAGAGGTTCAAATACATCATTTAATAACCAAAACCAAGAAACATTTGAAATGAACTTGAAACATCCATTCTTCAAATGAAATGACACCACTGAAAGAGGAAAAAAGGTTGGATAATGCTTTAGAATGGAAAGGAGATCCAAAAATAAGAATTAGTTGAAAGGTTTACAGTAAAAATAGACTTGGAAGGGAATGGAGTGATTCTATAACTTTCCATAAACCTTATCTACTGTTGGAAGACGAAGTGAGGGAGAAATGAGGGTTGGATGGATTATTAATTCGTCAAAATATGCAAAACACTTTTTTCAAAATTGTTTGACCGTACGGTGACCGTATAACCTGGATATTTATACATTGTTTTTGGATTGTAACTCACTCTTCCAACTTCATATTGACCTCTAGTTTGTAGAAACGAATAGCTAACTCAATTTACTATCTATTTGTAAAATTTCAAATCAATTGGATCTATACAGAATTTATGGTGAACTTTTACTAAATTGAACATATCTCTTTTTTCCAATATTCAGTCGACTCTATGTCAATGGAATTTAAAAGATAACTTGAAGACCTATCCAATGAAATCAAATTCACCCACAAAAAATAAAAACTCAAAACTTTTTATTCAATCAAAATGAACATATCAACAAAGGGTTAAAATAATCAAATTCATTAAGCACCTAATGAGATGATTCTGTTACGGGTCAAGTATTACAATTACCTTGACCCATTTGCTAACGTAGTCCACCGTGACCAAGATTTACATGTTTCCGTGTGTTTTTGGGAATAGTTACATGAAGTGAATTCTCCGAATGTCAAATGGATATACCTCAAGAATTCCTTTTGTGGCATTTCATCGTGCTTTGAGATTGATCAAAGGAGTTGGCATGCATCATATTGCTTTACGTAATTTAGAGCATCCTGGTGCAAGATTAGCGAAAAGAATCCATATCGTAGTATTTTTCCGTAGTGCAATTACATGCAAAATGGCCTCCTACGGAGAGGCCGTCAGTTTCATGGAGAATAAGTTGTATCACAGATTTGGTACACATCGCCTACTGATTTCATCTTTGCCAAAATGAAAAATATATAGCTCTATGCAGAAGTAATAACGGACAGGGCTGAAAATTTGATTCCTTCCATTATAGTTCAAGTGAGGAGGAACAAGAGTACTCACGAGGTAAATGGCAATTTCGGCGAACGTGACTTAGATAAATATAAAAATTAAACAAAAGAGATAGGGTAAAAGATTTTATACCCAACCTAGTTAATTATAAACCTCAAAATTTTTAATCTTGGATCCAATATCCTAATTAAGGAAAATGAAAAAATTGATGCGCTAAATTCCTCTACGAGAATCTAAAATAGTGAATTCCAAAAACTCGATTTGAAAACAAAGTACAAGGAATAACTATAACATCCTGCCCTCAAGCCACGCAAACCAGGTGTGTCGGAATTAGACTGACCCCACAGGTCAACACGAGTCCTTGGGGTCACCCATCCTGAAATTATCCTAGAGCAAGTACACTTAACTATAAAGTTCTTTCAAATGGCATTCTGAAAATGAATGTACACATTGTTGACATGAGTAGCCTATTCAATCTACTTAATCTCTATTCAATCTTGGGGATATCACATTCTCCCTAACTCATCTCTATTCAACACCGAAGGTATCAATTGGGATCGAGTCAGACTCCACTAGCAGTATCGCACTTATCAACTCTGCGTCGTCAGGATATTGAACTCTCCAACTTCTTCTGCTCCGGCTTTGTATCTTCATCAGAGGCATCGAGTGCCTGATCAATCACAACTACCAAGAAGGCAATAAGGCTGCAAACTACTTTGTGACTCGCTCGTTTCCCTTCCCGCGCTCTGCACACTACTGCAGCCGGACTTCCTGCATGTGCTCCAAAGCCAACTTTGCGTGGTTGTTACTGGTCTTCTTTGCTTCTGGTTTCATTGATTTTTTAGAGTAGCTTTGGTTTCCTTTCGGTTTTTCAGTTAATTACTTGAAAAGACTGCAAAACTACATATGACTTTATCCAATTTTGAATACGTAGGTAACTTGGTTTCCGAGTCCAGTCAAAAAAAGAAAAAACCTTACAAACGATCATGACAATATTATTTGTATAGTTAAGATTTTGCAAGAATGAACTATTTAACTAATGAAATATTTAATAACTAGAATGCTAGGCATACAATAATCAATTTGTCCTGAAGATATTTTTATTATTTATTTTTTAATATCCTATGCACTTTTTATTTGTCATTTTATCATGTATCTTTATTTTATAAAATCATGCATTTTGATTATTAATGTTACTTGGTGTTTTTTTAATGCGTAAACTGTTTTTTAGTCCGTAATTTGAGGTTGTCTTAACATAGTCCTGTAAGTGGAAATTTTTTCAATTTAGTCCTCAATGCTTATGTGGCATCTGTGTGGCAAGCTGACGGATACGTGTCGACTAGATCATCGCCACGTGGCTGACACGTATCCGCCACGTAGAATAATTTTTATTTTTTGAATTTTTATTTTTTTAATAAATAAATAAATAATAAAATTAAATATATAAAAAATAAAATATAAAATATAAAAATATATTTAAAAAACTAAATTAAAATTAAAAAATTAAAATTATCCATATGTCCGTCAAGTCGGCGCCACGTGGCCGCTGCGTGGGTAATTTATATATATTTTATTTAAAAAAAAATATATAGTTAAAATATATGCTAATATAAAAATTAAAAGGTCATGCGCCGACTTGATGGACATATAGCTAAATTTTATTTTTTATTTTATATATTTTTTATTTTTAATATTTTAATTTTAATTTTTTTTTTATTTTATTCTTATTTCTATATTTGAATTTTTTCACATATAAAATAAAATAAAATAACAAGATAATCCACGAGGTAGACACGTATCAGCCACGTGGCGCTGACCTGGCTGACACGTAAGTGCCACATAGGACTAAATTACAATAAATATTTACTTACGATATTATTTTAAGACAGCGTCCAATTACGGGACTAAAATGATAAAGAGGTCAGCTACAGACCAAAAGATTAATTTACCCTTTTTTTTTTAAGTAATGTTCGTAAGTCTTTTTTTTTTTTTTTTTTGATGAATATATGTATATATATATTTGTTTATCTAAATATGTTAATGATATATATTTTTTAATTGCTTGTAAACATGGGAATTCAAATGAGTAAGACGTTAAGTTTATTGATACACTAATGAATTTACATGCATTCAGAAAGTATGCCGCCGGTGACAACAATGTATTTAAATTTAGCTACTTACATGAAATTCAACAATTACTGACATATGTCTTCCTAACTCCGGCTTGAAAGTAGTTATGCATATAAAGTTTAGGATAAAAACATTGAAGACTCTCTTAAGTATTGTGTACGATATGGTGTGCATATAAGCGGGTTTGGTTTGGATGTATAAAAAATTTATTGTGTAAATAAATTCAGGAGTGATTATAAACAATTTTTCTTATTGAAAAAAAACAGAGAAAACATAAATGTTTGTGAGAAAAGCGGTAAGTTAAAAAAACACATTATCCGATATTGTTATCATTTAACGTTTTAAAGAACTTGGGGCGTGTTTTGTGAGATAATTTGAATGAATGTTTTTTTTTTTTTTTATGTGAAATATGAAAAATTATGTAAAAAATAAAAAGTAATATATCTATGTGATATATTAGTTTTTTGTGGCAAAATATGTTGTTAAAAGAACACACCCTTGAGGTGACTAGAAAGAATAAAATTCCCTTGATTAAATCATTTTGTAGATAATTCCATAAAATAGATATTTTTTATTTTTTAAAAATTTTTGCTTCTTTAAGAGGTTGAAGGATTTTGTTTCATTTGACTATATATTTTTATTTTTTTAATAATTCTTATAATACTTTATTCATGAATTTCTTTTTAGATTAATCAATTTATTTTTTTATTATTGTTTCTTGTCTTTTAGTATAGTTATTTATTTATTTAAATTAAAAAAGTTTACAGAAAATTTATAGTTGAGCCATTCTCAGTTTATAAATAGCCAAACAAGAAAAAATAATTGTCTCTTATTGTATATTTAAGTTGAATTATCTATTTTAGCAAATAAGAAGAATCAATTGTCATTCACTTTGTCAATTTTATTTATATGCATTTCTTTTTCTTTACCTTAATAGTTCCTTTGTCTATAGCAAATAATCTCTAAACTTTTCTTAAAACTTAAAAACACAACCAAAGTTAGATAAAATATTATTTTAATATAGTGTTTTCTGAAGAAAAAAAAATAATAGTACTACATTTTTATTAAAATTTGTGTTTATTGACAGTGATTGCCAAATAGATTTAAATGTGAGAAAATTGTAAAAAATATCTCTATGCATATCACATTATTACTTTTCTCATTTGTAAAAGTTTCGTTATTTTTATTCTTTAGCCATGCCTGTCATTCACACCACGCGCAGTGACGCGCGATCACTAGCGACTACGCGCGACCAAATGATATAAATAACTACTTTTGCAAACATATGAAATATATTTTGCCAGTAGGATAAATACTGAACAAAAGTGATAATGAAGTATACATGTTCCCATTCAAATGTACTCATAAAAACTTTAAAGTGACATTTGATCTTATATATGGTGCATTACAACAAAAGTCGACTAATTTTGCTCGACTATTACAACTTATTCAAATAACAAGATTCGATTCGGATTCGGATTTAGAAGATCGCTGCCGTTAAGAAACTCACCATTAATCAACCGGAACGGGCTGCATGGCTTCGGCTTCTTTCCTCAACTCCTCGAACAACACGGACGACAAGTATCGCTCGCCAAAGCTCGGGTGCACCGTCTGCGAGGAAATCGAAGCTCCAATAAGAAAGAAATATGAAGCATACAATATGTAAGGATGAGTTATTCATGTTCGAATTCAAAGGCTTGGTGACAGCTTCTTAATGTTTACCACAATGAGTTTCCCCTTGTTTTCTGGCCTTTGGGCAAGCCTGATTGCCGCCACCGTGTTAGCCCCCGACGAAATCCCAACCTACATTACCAACGTTGAAAATCTAAGGAGAAGGATGATATATAATACAAAACATTAGGGGATGATTACGGTGTTGATTTGCTGATTTTTCACATCAGCACGCGTTATATTTACAAATAGCACACATTAGTATTACACACAGCACATGATGTGTTTAATGAAGGTATGTGTTGCTTTGTAATAATAACAAGTGTGCTGAATACAAGTATGTCATTCGCTAAAATCAACTGATGTTAGTTCATGTAATAATACTGTGTGTTGTTTGTAGTAATATTGTATGTTGTTGAGACTATAACATGTGTGTTTTATTCATGTGGTGTATTTATATTATATTAATATATACAATGTGTTGTTTGTAATAATATCATGTATTGTCTAATAGCACACAATGTGCTATTCAGCACAGTGCGAAATTTTAAATTCAGCACTGTAGCCGCCGTAAAACATTAATGCTGTTGTAACTACTGTTGATAAAATGAACAATTTGAAAGACAGATGGAGTAGTAATTACCATTAAACCTTCTTTCAACGCCAACTGTCTTGCCATGTTGACGGCATCCTCACTCGATACCTACAACGGCCAACACGACGGTCTCAATAGCCTAAAACAAGTTCATTGCGAAATCGATACTACTGTTATAACAAGAAACGAACATAGTACAAAACAAATCACCATGAGAACTTCCTCCATAACATCCATGTCCAAGATGTCGGGTTTGAATCCGACCCCATTGCCGGTAATATGATGAGGACCTAGAAGATCAAAATAATTTTGCGTTTCCTTTCGGTTGGCTACAAATCAATTGATTAAGCTTTTGCGTTACCTGGTTTTCCGCCGTTAAGAATATTGCTTTCGGTAGGCTCAAGTCCATAAATCTAGAGAAGAATTGGAGAACAGTTTAACATGACATAGACGATCGGATAAAAACCAACACACCTACAGAATGTTTTGATATGTCTGTAAAGCATAATACTACCTTGACATTGGGATTTTTGGACTTCAAGTATTGCCCGACGCCAGAGACAGTGCCTCCACTTCCAATCCCCATAATGAAAATGTCGACCTTGCCATTTGTATCCTCCCATATCTCCGGGCCGGTGGTCTCAAAATGAATCTGTCATTTGTTTTAGGGAACTCATCAATTCCATGTCTCAAAAAAGGTTTTTGTTGCGAGGGTTGAAATCATGTCGAATGCTCTAAAACATAAACACAAAATTGTTTCATAAGATGACACTATAACAGCTACTCAAGGTAACACACCAAACTGTCATACAATCGCTCCCACGACTCATATACAAGCCATAAATAATGCTATAAGAACTTAACAACCTACTTCTTAGTCGAGCTATATATAAGCTTGAACTTTGGTCATTCTTTAGAATATATATCAACTTAGTCGGGGGGTCGAAATTATTTCCTCTTCGATGACCAAAAAACATTATTCAATCTACTCTACAAACATCTTGAACTAGCTCGATAACAAACATTTTGGCAGCCAGCGACCATTTATTAAGTTGAGTTCAAAGACTTCCCATAGTTATCATCTTAATCAAACGAGCTTAAACTTAGTTCCACATAAACTAGACCAGAGTTAGAAAATGGAAAACTTTATTAGACTAGACTCAATTAAGTACAGCTACAATTGTAAAGCTTTATTATGAATAGTTCAAGCTTTGTTACCTGAGTATTGGCAGGATTCGAAAATTGTTGAAGCATGAATGCATTGGGCGTTGACTCCAAAAGCTCATAAGCCTTCTTAACAGTTCCGCCCATTCCCTTCGCCGGATCGGTGAGCACCAACTCAGCCCCGAACGCTTTCATTGTCACCCTTCTCTCCAAGCTCGTGTAAGACGGCATCGTCAACACCATTTTGTACCCCTTCATAGCAGCCATAAACGCCATGCTGATCCCCATATTACCCGATGTAGGCTCAATCAATGTCGTCTAAACCAGAACCAGAACCAAAATCGGAATCTCAACTAAAAACAAAAGTTAATCCGATCTAAAGTAGAGAAAAAGCTAGACTACACCGACCTTCCCCGGTGCTATCAGTCCTCTCTTTTCAGCATCTGTTATCATCGCATAAGCTGGCCTGGAAGCCATGAAAGAGCACCACAGTATCATCAAAAGATTCGTTCAAAATTGACCTTCATTCAAACAACAAAGGGAGATTTCAAAGCCAAATTACACACACTCACACACCTGTCCTTGATGCTAGCAGTTGGCTGCATCATCTCTTGCTTGACGGCTACATAAGCGCTGCAGCCCTCGGTTACTCTGTTGAGATAAACCAAAGGCGTTCGGCCAATAAGCTGCACCAATAACCAACACAAAGAGACTAATTCTTCCTCTGTTCTCATACGCAGTGCATTTAGCCATTTACCCATCCCATAGGGTTGATAATCAGACTAATTCTACACCAGAATCGCGAAATCGCATGCACAGGAATTGCCTAATGAACGCAGATTCACCAACAAAATTCAAGGCCAACAATCGAGTCCTCAAAATTGCGAGAATTAGAACTTCACCCACAGACTTACGCGGACGCGTGTGCGCTCGATTTACGAAGGAAGTTAATACTGAAGTGCATCTCTTACCTGAGAAGCTTCCTTCCTGATATTAGCGCCGGGGAGGTCTTTTGGCAGATTCCTCAGTCTCTGAGCGAACGAGGGAGAATCCAGCGAAGGAATTGAACTCGTGGAGAATAACCTCCCCTTGTTAACAGCAAATTTGGGGATTTCCTTAGTGAGATTTCTGAAGGCCGCCATTGATGATTGATGGTGGAAGTGGAAGGAAGCTGAAGCTGAGAGCGGTTTGGAAAGGAACAAACGTATTTCTGTGCTCCATAATGAATGGAAAGTTTTGCCATATATATAACGGGAAATTGGATTAAATTAATAATATAAATAAAATAAATTTATTAATGTTAGTCTATTTTATTTGTGGTATGGGTGCAACGGCACTGCTATGGTTTGGGCCATATAAAAATTTGTTCGTATTGGGCATAACAGTGTGCGTATATATATATATTCTACCGCTCCAACTTATTTATTTGTATTTGTATAATAAATTAAAAAATATAATAATATTTTATTAAATGTATGAAATTATTTTAATACTTTTACTTTTCAATATAATTGAAAATAAATATTTTTTAAAGAAATATATATATATTTCATTTTGTTTTTTTTATTTTGTCTCTTTTCTCCTTCTCTGCCGGAGCTACGGCTTTGAGGGAATCTAAGGCTAAGGGAAGTAGTTCTTGGAGGAGAGAAGAGAAATGATACATAAGAAATTTTAAATTTTAATATAAATGATAATTTAATATAATTCTTATTTAAAAATAATAATCTTTCTATTCTAAAAAATGATGCTCATTCTGTACATTTTTAATAAAAATGGATAATAATAATTATTTTTTTCTTCTAGAGTAAAAAGTATAAAAATTATACTCAGTCCATTCGGTTTAAAATACCTTTTTAAAAATTTTTATTTATTCCACTTCAAAGTATTTTATTTTAATTTTTTTAAAAAAAATAATTATGGACTAATACTAAGATATTATTAATTTTATTTAAATTACAAATATAAAATTACTTTGTATATAAAGTCATGTGACAAAAATATCAAAATCTTTTAAATATATTAATGAAATACTATTATTTTTAATTTACTACCAAATTTCAAAAGACTATTTTGGATTGGGATAGAACAAATATTATTTTTTACTTTGAAAAAATTTTAAAATATTTTTTATCACAATTAGAAATATATATATATATATAAATGAAAGAAATAATATATTTTTATTAGAATTTGAAAAAAATAAATAATAAAAAAATAGTCCTAAACTAAATAAGGCTTGATATAAAAATGGCTTGAGATGTTTAATATTTCAATAAGTTTTAATGACATATGTAATAATATTTTAATTCGAATTTAGATTAGTATTTTATTATAAATATTTAGGGTGTCTTTGACAATTAGTTGATAGCATTTAGCTGATTTCATTAGCTGTTGGCTTATTCAATTAGCTGGTTTGGCAGTTATATTGAAGTGTTTGGTAAAATAACTGTTTGACATTAGTTGTTTATACATAAATGACTATTAAGGACATTGATATGTTATTTTTTAAAATATTTAATTTTGTTCATTTTGGTTTAAATTTATGAGAATTTTTGTTATTAATTATTGAAAATTATAAAAATATTATAAAATATTTATATTATATAAAATTTATATTTTTGATTGGTCAAACAACTAAAAGCTGTTCAATAAGCTAAAAGCTCTTCAAAAAGTTGTTTCCCAAATACCCCCTTAATAATTTTCTATTTGTTTAGTAAATTTAATCACTTTATACATATTTAATAATTATAAATCAATTTAATTAAATTTTTAACCTCTTACAAGTAACATTCACTCAAAACCCTTTTATTTTTATTTCTCTTATATATTTTTATTTATTTATATTATATAAAATTTTATTATCTACCAAATGATATCAATATTATATATTTATTAGTATATAATGTTGAAATTATTTAAATATATATTCTAACTTTCTTTTAATATTTATTTATATTTTTAATATACCAACAACACTATTTATATAAAAAATAATACTATTATAATTTATTATTAGTAACTTAGATTAATTTTGTTTGTTTTATGTTTTGGTTTAAGATAAGTATTTTTTATTGTGAGGTAAATTCTTACAGTCCCTTAAATGTCTGACCTTCTCCGACAATGCATCTCTACGTTAAAATCATACTAGTATTTTCGTCGGGAATAAGGATGCCACCTGTGCCATCTTCATTCACTCTCGAACATTCGGTCTCGCCTACGCATTACAAATATAAAAATAGGAATGAAAATTCTGTTAGATGTAAATAATTTCAATTCTATAGGGTAATAAAACTTTTCTTCATAAATAAAAAAAAAAACTTAGGTACCCATCTTATTCAACCGAGTATGTACACAGTTATCTATCATGCCATCCAAGTACTTAAAAAAACAACCGCATCTATTCACCACAGCAAGGTAGATGATGCAGTAAATGCCACAGGCTATGGACTTTCAATGCATCGATCACAGTACACCTAACTAAACCAATTTGCTAGAGGATACTGGCAGTGACGTGTAAAGAATGAGTGAACATCTTTAAACACCTTCAATACGTTACATCCCCATTACACATATGTACAATCTCTTCAGTGATTTGTACTGCACTGCGCTACAATAAAATTGTGGAGGTGAATACTTACTACCTACAGACAAAATCGCAACAAAATACCAGGGTGTTGTTGTATGCCGATATCATGAAAGAATTATTACTAGCATGTCCGATAAACAAAAGGTAGGTAACTTCTTACCAATCTTACATGTCGAAATTCAAGGATATATGCATCATACCTAGTATAAGTTTTTATATAAACAACATGCTTTTAGATGTGTTGAATATGATTACATAAATGCTTACAAGCTGCATTCTTTCGTAAGGCACAACTGTGACTGCATTTTACAATAAAATTGATTAAAGATGAACAAATACTACTTAATTATAAAAGATGAGTAACATATCTGCGTCCAACCGTGCTTCGGGGAGGCACACTCTGTTGCTCACTCCTACACCGTGCAATCATACCTACAAACATTACCTTTAACAAGATATGTATTCTCCAAATATTGGCGATATCATCGTCACATAATAATATCACGTAACTTTTCTGAATAGGTTCAATATATTGGAGTTTTACGGCCTCAATACTCACCTGATTCCATTTTTTCGATAGATTCCGGTAAAAATCCTCCAGCATAGAGCCCTCTTCTAAACCAATTACATGATGTTCACCTTCGTACGAATAAATAATTGATAATTTCAGACTACTTTGCTTTATATCCATCAGAACCTAACAATCCAATGGATGTATCAACTATGTTAAGTCGTATAGGCGATTCAACAATCTTACACAGAATACACTAAAATCATATGTTAACATAGAATTCTAGTAATGTATTGATCCTCAAATACCAATAAATTACCAAATTCACAAATATAATATTTACAACCTATTTCACAAAATATCTACAAAAATACCAACTATCAACAAAATTTATTATCAAAATCACCAAATAATTACCCATTTCCCAAAACTCATACTTCATGTATAAATTTCTTTTAGTTTAACAAGCATTAACACTTTTTCAGAAATAACAATTTTTTTACTAATTTAAACATTACTGAAGTGCGTGACCTTGGACGAAGGTCCTTAACAATTCTCCCACCGAAGCACGCGACCTCGGACAACGGTCCGGAAAACTTGTCCCACCAAAGCGCGCAACCTCGGACTACGGCAAACGGGCCGGACAGAAGAAAGAGGGACAACAAACCAGCCGGACAGAGGAAGGAAGAACAGCGAACCGGCCGGAAGGTGGGAGAAAGGGAGAGAATTTTTCACACTGGAGGAAGTTGGGCGACCGGACGGGAGGTTGATTCCGACCTGATGGGAGAGGATTCAACGGAGTAGGAAGAATTTTTCGCCGCCAAAAAAAAAAAAAAAAAAAAAAAAAAAAAAAAAAGAAAAAGAAAAAACCAATTGAAAGACTGAAAGAAGAATTGAAGAATGGGGAAAAAAAAGAATACGAATGAAAAAGAGAGTGCAGGCAAACCTTTTAGAAATGATGACTGAATTCCAATTGACTATAACGTATAGGAATTTAATTTTAATTGTGCCTTAAAAAAAAAAAAATAAAAAGTAAACATTCAATTTAAAATAATATGTTTTTATAATTTTGACACAATTCTTAATACCACACGTAAAAAATCAATTCATTCAAAAGTATTGGATGAACATAGCCATAATAATCAATTTGTCTTTATTATTTCTATTAACCCATCATTTTTTTATCAATTCATACATAAATTTCCAATATCTCATCTTAATTTTGTATTATATTTAAATATTATTCAATCTACCATTCAAACTTATTTTTACTTTCATTTTTCTTTGTTGTCATCTAAATTTATTTTTATTTTTTTTATTAAAAATTATATCACTTTTCTACTTTTTCTGTACAATAAAAGAATACACTTGTCCTAAAATTCGTTCCCGATCAAATGAACATAATCTTACATGATGAGGATAGTATTATTTTTTAATTTATGTGCTCAATCAAAATTATATTATATCCGTCGCGGTTAAGATGACCAATATGAATAGTGACATAGATAGTTGTAATTTCATAAGTTAATTATAATAGTTATAATACTTTCTTCGTTCCAGTACAAGGTTGTCATTTGATTTTTGTCTCATTGTATTGACATTAAAAAAATTCTTATATTTAAATACATTACTCCACAAATATTATTATATTTGTATTATAAGAGACTAATAACTATATTTTGTCTTATTCGCTTTATTTGTACTACGATATAATAATTAATATTCAAATATCAACATGTAAAAAAACCAATGTCAATCTTCCCGTGGGACATAGGGAATATTATTTCATTAATTTTTACACAAGTGGTGTTGTTAATATTTTAAAATAAAATTAATATGTATAATTAAAAAAATTAAAATATGTATTTAAATATTTTAAGCAATAAATCTTAATAATAATATATATAAAATATGGATATCAGTTTGTAGAAAATAAAATTTTATATAATACAAATAAATAAATAAAATTATTTATCTATAATTAATTTAAACTAATTTTATAAAAAATGAGAAGGTTTAAATATAAATATAAATATTTATTTATGAATGAGAGAAATATAAATAAAGGAATTTTGAATGAATGTCATGCATAAATGGTTTTTTGAATTTTTATCAAATTAATTTATACTTATTAAATATATTTAAAATTGTTAAATTTATCGTAAATAGAAAATGATTATCTTTATCTAAAACAAGCTAAACAGATGAGGTGATTTAGACGGAGGTTTTTGGAGATTTTTGAAATTTTGAAAGTTTGAAAAAAAGAAAAAAAAAATTAAAAATATTAGTATTTGATTTGATGTTTTGTGAGAGAAAAAATATATTTGATGTGATTTTTTTTAAAAAAAATAAATAATTCCAAATAAATGAAAATGTGTTGTGTAAACAGATTCAGACGAAAAAAAAAAAAAATCAAATAAAAAATTAAAATTAAAAAAGAAAAAGAAAACCAAAAGAAGATCAAACACCTAAGGCACAACCCATATGATACAAGGAATTGGGTGGAGTGGCTGTGGCGTATGACCAAACGCTACGCTCTACTATTATTGTGTAACTGTTGCCAAAAATAACAAAATTGTGTGTTTGGTCACACTCATCACTATTTCTATAATTTTATTCTACTATCTTATTAGACATATTTATTTTTTAAGAAAATATTATATTGGTTTTATTTTATTTTATTTTTTTTCAATTAAAATGATTAGATAGCTTTAGTAATTTGCATGCATGTTATTAGAATTTTTGCGTTGTTTAAAAAATTCACATATTCACCGACAAAATATTATTTTAAATTTTTTATTATTTTTAAGGGTTTTCAAAAACATCATACTGAATTAAATCAAACTCTTGTTTTTTTTCTTATAAATTTCAAATCAAAATTTTATTTATTAATTAAAAATATCAAATCAAATTCATATTTTTATATTTTTATATTATATTAAAAATATTTCATTAATATTTATTAATATCATAACAAATAATAATTCCAATTCATTATTTTTATTATTTAATTTTCAAATTCGGAAACAACAACACTCCTATGTAAATATGGTTACATTATATAAAAATATACATTTAAAATCAAAATATTACTACTATTTAAAATACAATTAAAAACTTTTTTTGTTGTTGTTGTTGTTTTGGTTTGAATTTAAATTTTAATAAATTATTATTCTGATGTAATGTTTTATGAAAAAAATATTGATTTTGTCTTTACACTTTAAATCTTGTTTAAATAGTAATTATCTGTGATATTTTATAAAATAAAATAATTTATTTTTATAAAATGTAATATAATAATTATTTATTTATATTTTATTATACAATTTGTATACATATCTTTACAAAATATATCATCTAATAAATATTTCATCACATGACAAATCAAAATACAACTATAAAAGTAAGGGGACTATCATTTTCATTTAAATTGTTACTCCCTCCTCCCATAAAATTTGTCCTTTTTTTTTTCATCCTACGTAATTTGTTATTTTTTTGGAAATATAATTATACACTTTAATTATATTTTAAATTTTAATTAAATTATTTAGTTATAATCTTAATTTATAACTTTTTAATTAATATATTTTTTAATTACTTATTAATTATATTTTTCCTAAATTTCGGTGTTTACAATAAAATGGACAAATTTGTTGAGACAAGTTTATCAATATTAAATAGGAAATTTATTTTTATTAATTTTTTCTCATTGGTAAATTACCAAAACACCCCCGAAAAATCCAAAAAGAACTTGATTTATTAATTGGTGGACTATATTCAATGAACATGTTTCATTCTCTATTCATGGTGGCGCTTATAAAGTGCATGCATGCATCTTTCTGTTTTTCTTTTTTATTTATTTATTTATATTTTATTATATTACATATTGATGGGCCAATTGTGTTTATTTGTATTATAATATAAATTTACTAAATAACAATGGTACATAATTATTACATAACTAATCATTGTTTTATTTAACACCAAACATCAAAATCTTGTTGTGCAGGATCATGGATAATGTATAAATTTTTTTTAAATGTTGATGTTATTATTGTTTTGTATTTTATATAGTATATATATATATAATTAAATTAAATATTAAATTTGTTGAGATATTTTAAATATTCAATTTTAGATTTAGTAGATTTATATCTAAATTTGATTGTATATATAGATCAGATTACTTAGATTTGAGTTTATTTTGTATTGTCTATATATAGGCTTTCTTATTTTGATATCAATGAGACAATCTCATTATTTTCCCCCAAAACTTCTAACATGGTATCAGAGCACGGTTTTTCAAAACCAAAACCCTAGTTGTCGCCGCCGCTGTTCGCCGTCCATCGTCCGCCCTTCTCCGGTCGTCATTTTTTTTTTCGGTCGCCGCCTCCTGCTTTGGTTCCCTACGTCGTGGTGTGATTGGCTTTTTTATCGGAGTTGATCTTGTTTTGCAACTGTTACCTATTGGATTGTTCGATCTACTTTCTTGATTTGGGCTTTGATTTCATGATTCACATATTTTATACGTTTTTTTGTTATGAAGCGTATGGACGTTCATTTACCTATTACTACTATCTTGTCCGGCGATAATTATGATCTTTGGATGCAGTATATGAAAAGTTTCTTGATTGGTACGAAGTTATGGCAAATTGTCACTGGCGATATCCGGCCACCTGTCTCTCCATCTCCTTTTGTGCATATTGACCCCACCTCTCGGGAGCATGAAGATTATGTTGTCAAATTGGAATATTGGGATAGTAAGAATCATCAGATTCTTACTTGGTTGCACAATACTTCTGTACCTGCGATTCAGGTACAATTGACTCCTTTGATACTACAAGGAGGCATGGGATTTCCTCGCTGCTTGTTTTCAGACTACAGGTCTTGCTCATTATTATCAGCTTTGGACCACGATGAGCTCCGCCCGACAACAACCTGGTCAGTCTGTTAATGAGTTTCTCCACCTGTCCGAAGATTGAGTGCCACTTCTGTCTGCTGCGTGGCCATATTGCTCCGGTCTGTCCCACAAGATCTCAACATTCAGGTAGTTCTGCTCCTAGATATTCCGGTAGCATTGCTCCCAAACCTCAGGAGCCTAGTGGGTCTTCTTCGACTGCTTTTTCTACGATTACGGCTGCTACTACTGATGAGACTCAGCATGCGCCTTACAATCCTCACGACATAGAAGCAATCATCAAACAGGTTATGCAAACCAATTCTGCTATGTCTACCACTCCAGGTACATCTACTTGGTATTTTGATTCTGGTTGTTGTCACCACATGACCTCTAACCCTCGTAACTTGACCTATATGTCCCATGTCTCCCATTTACTAACTATACATACTACCAATGGTACTACCATGCATATTACCCACACTGGTCTTGCGTCCTCCCCTTCCCTATATCTTCCTGATACATATTGCATCCCTGACTTAGCCTTAAATCTTATCTATATTGGTCAATTAATTGAATAAGGTCTTACAGTTACATTCTCTTCTGGTGGTGTGCATGTTTAGGATTCTCAGACGGGTCAGCTTCTCGGGACGGGACTCAAAACGGGTCGGTTATTTGAGTTTGAGTCTCTTCATACCTCCTGCATATATCCCCGCTCTACAACTCTTACCTCTGATTCCTTTAGTCTTCATTGGCATCTTCGCTTAGGTCATGCGTCTTCCAGTAAGCTCCAGTCACTCCATACTAAAGGTCTTTTAGGTCCAGGTCGTTTTGAGTCTTTTAATTGTGTTGATTGTAAACTTGGCAAACAACCTGCTCTTAGTTTTTCAAAAAGTTCATCTATTGCTACTGAA